ATAAGGTTCCTTCACGCATCTTCATAAGTGAAGTTTTGCAGTCTAACATACATATTGTTAAGATCTAGGCTTCCGAAGGCCGTGAAGCCTGCATACGGGTCGCAATTTTTCGGCGACGAGAGTCCGCGCAACCACATTTGGGCTCAATAAAGCTATACAGTGTGTTTCATAATTATTAGGCCACCCTCAAATTTAGCATTCCCGGAAAAACTACTGAGGATTTTTCTAATAGGTTGTCCAGTAAGTAATACGGGTGTTTGATCTCCTGCTTGAAAGCAGTGTACCTCAGCTCAAAGTCAGCGTTTTTAGTCATTCAAAAAAGCATTGGAAACTCCGCATGTTTATCAACAAGAAACAAGCTGGATTTCAATGCGGTTTTTTTCCGCCAAAGGAGCATTGTTGTAAAAGTGGAAGTTGGTGAGAGCAAGGCACTGTGAATGCAGTTTGTGAAGCACAGCTGGATAAGCCGAATCGTCCATTTCTTGAGAGATCGTTTGTGCGACATGTGGCTGTGCGTCGAGATAGAGAACGATTCTCGTCTTTCTCTCGGATGTAGACCTCACATTTGTATTGCATCATGTCAGCGTGATGGACAGACGTTGGTGTTGTATTATCAGGCAGAGGTCGTGTAAACGCTTCCCTTCGGTCTGTAGTATAGACCCCTAGAGGACAATCACAAATGTGGCGTTCCCGTGCACGGAAACCAACCGACAAGAGCGCTTGGGCCTTGCAAAGTAAGCTGCTGAAGCTGCAGATTTTTTTCTCTTATCAGGCTGTTGTCTGGCGCTCTCTCCTCTCCGCGCTTAGTCTCTCATTCCTTAGCACAGCCGATTAGGAAGGTGAGTGAGCCCTTAACCTAAGCGTTTTCGACGGATTCTTTTCCTTTTTTCTTTACTGCCGGCCCATTTTGCAAAAGTACTTCTTTTACAAAGGTCCAGTTTTAGCGGTGGATGACGAAGTGGTTCAAAAGTTGGCCATTTTTCATGTAAAACGACCTGCGACAAAGTCTCTGAGCGGCGAGTTTGCTGTTGTCACTCAGCTCATGCGGTCCCCTTTTGTCTTACCTTTCCAAGTACCTCCAAGTTTTTGATACACTTGCTCCAGGTTATGCTGCTGGTAGTCTTGCACTTATTTGAAAATCTTCTACAGTCGATTCCTCATAACGTCGCTGTCAACAAGAGAATGGCCTCCCTAATCCCCTCACTTAGAATCTCTAGTGTTATATTTTATACATAAATGATTAGAGAATTGTTCTGAGGGCTGTTCTTAACAGTATTTCCTCTTGAAAAATAGAAAGTTACTGCGTCATTCAGAAAAGCGGAATTCTACTCACCCGGAAATTCGTGATTTGATGTCGTCACCGAATGAGATCTAGCTTTGGCTTTCAGCGAAAATCCATGGAAAATGTACAGCACCGCAAGCAGCAAGGTGAGATATCCAGCCTGAATAGTTAACCAATGCCGTTTCAAAACATTGAAACCCTGGTGAAAGGCCAAGAAATATTTGCTGAAGCGAAGCATTTTGATTATAAAACAAACTGCTTATTATGTTATTGTTTAGATTCGCATCGCGGACTATGACGAATGCTGAATTTTGCATAATATAGTTTGATCCATAAGTCTTGCAATAAATTACATTTGGATGCTAGAAATTTTGTGAGAACTGCGAAAATTCCGCGACATGTTTGTTGAAGTAGCAAGTTTTGCAAGTTCTGCCAACCGTCCAGCTCGTTGTCTCGCTACTTGTTAATATTAC